AATATAGCAAAAAAATTCTGAAGTATAAATCAGTGGCAAATAGTAAAATCGAATGACAGATCGAGCTTCACATATAATTTTTAAATACTCGTTGGATAACTTTACGAAACACTTGAATTAAGCGTGTCCAAGGCATACCCTTCTTAAATACGATTGTGTCAAATACAGTATTAATTTATGATTTTTTTCCCAATCAGATCATTTGTCATCAATAAAACCCGAAGTGACAAATAGTTCTTTTACAAACGTCGAAAATAGGACAAAAAACACAGACAGTCCGTTCTCAAATACCAGTTTAGGATATACTGTTCAACCAAATAACAACAGAACGGAGGTAATAATACCTTCAAAAGACGACATTGTTAAAAAGACAACAATATCAGTTGTAGATGGTAACAGAACCATAGAAGGAGAATCAACAACATATAGAAGTAAGTATGAGCGCTTAAAAATACATCCATTCAGAATAACTGTATGTTTTACAATAAATGACTAATGTTAACACAAGATCCAATTCCTCTTAATTTGTGTATTTTTTAATAAAGAAGTGTTTTTTTGATACATTAAACGTATTCGTGACTACACAAAAAAGGAGAGTTTTTGTGAAGTCTATAAGTTTGAAGATACTAAAAGGGCTTTGATTATTTTCATTTTATCTTTTTAAGGTCTCAAAACAACAACAACAGCTGAACCAACCACCGTTTGTCCTCCCAAAAACGGGAAATTTCCAATTTATCTCCCTCATACAGAAAACTGCTCGCTGTACTATGTTTGTGACAATGGATATCCAAAGTTAATGCGTTGCCCCTCACCCCTTCACTTCAACCGACAACTTAACGTATGTGACTATGAGTGGAGAGCTGGCTGTTCTAAAAATGGTGAGTTTCAGGTATTCTCTTTCTTTTCTGTTCTTTTTCTTAAAAAATGAGGATTCTCAAACACCAACAGCTATGTTTCAAATTGCCATCTGTTCCACAGATCATAAAGAATCCTTTAAGAACATCTTAGGTGTATTAAACTCAGAAAACGCGAAACACGTTGATTTCATATAGTTTGTTTGAACCGTTTACACTAATGCTGTTGATATAGTTATATAATGGTGTACAGTATAACTACACAGTCAAATAAAACAATATAGTGTTTTTTCTTTCTTCCAAGAAAACAAATAGAATTTATAAAATATCACATCTTCTACAAAAACGAAAGTTATTAAATAATTTGAGTTTTTGTTATTCGTTTATGAAACAATAATATCATATTCTAAACATATTTTTTTTATCGAGAACGAATAAGTAAAATCTAATATTACTTCACATGATTTTCTACTATTGGATCAGAAAATTAAAAATATCTCAAAAATCAATTTATAATTAATAATTCAATCAAATAAAAACCGAAATCAAGTGACAGTGTCTTCAAGAGAAAACAACGTTAGTGACACACCAATTTCAGGTGTATATGATAACAGAACAGGTATCAACAACAAATAAAACATAAACAAGGATGCTACGATATCAACTAATTCTCACGTGTTTCATGGATCACAGGGAAATTTAGAAGAGCGTTTAAAATTTTTTAACTGGTTTTAAAAA